TATGTATATACCAACAAAGATCTTATAGAATATGTAGAAGACAAAAAAGGAAAATGGTAAATTGATCCTCCACTGTTAATTTACCTCGCAACCAAAAGAACCAAATGAAATAGTAACTTTTGTTATGTCGGAGGGTGACTAGATTTGGTGTCGTTGTGAAGAAAAGCTTATTGGATTTAAACATGTAAAAAGAAAAGAAAAAGAAGAAGAAGATACTCCTAGAAGAGGATATAGCTAGGCAGCTAGCGGTCAAAGGGTCAAGAAAAAAAGATTACGGAAGACGAGGAGGGACACACGTGTGAGAGATGTGGTTAAAAGTGTTCTGCTGCAAAAATTCTGAGAATGTTAAAAAATCTTTATTCTCTCTCGTGTGGGCCTTGTGGCTTTCCTTTTCACTGCCAGACCTCCCCACGTGCGCCTCTCTCCTCTCTTAATCCATTTCTTCCATTATTCCCTTTTTCCTATTACCATTTTCTCAATATTTCATTTTCGTAATGATGATAGTTGGATAATATTCGTCCCTTTTTTCTTAGAAATCTGATATTTTAGTGTTTTGGATTTGTTCTATAAAGATTGATTTTTTAGATTTTTTTTTATTTTTAGTTAATTGATATTAATAAATCGTAGATTTCAAAAGTAATGATTAACTGTTTCAGACTACTATTGGTTCATAATTTATTTAAAAATATTTAATAAAAAAAATAACTAAACAATGATCGTTTCTTAAAATCTATGAAATCTCTAGAAAATCAATTTTCTAGGAACAGAGGGAGTATATTTTTATTGATGTGAATATGATGCCAACAAAAGTTTTAAATCTTTAATATATAGTTTCGGATATACTCTCTTTCTTCCTTGTTATTTGATGTTTTAGGTTTTTAACTTGTTCCACCAACTCAAAACATCATTCTTTTAGGAACTCCTACTAATAATAAAAAGAATTTTATTGTTAGAACGAAATCTCTCTATTTATTAGAATCTCTCTAGTTTATTTCTTTAAAATTATTATAAAAAATAAAAAGCATAACAAAACCATATGTATGTACCATAACAAAGACTGATAAAAGTTACTAATCAACAGTAACTTAGGAGCTGTTATTGGATTGAGATTTTTATGGACTTGAATTGACAGATAATATGTGAATTGGATTTTGAAGTCCAATGCTTGTATGTGGAGTTCACGTGGAATTTTGAAATACTTGATTAAATGTTTGGATTGTTTTTGTTCATGTTTTATGAGTAAAAGTACATTCAAATCCAAAATGAAACAAATCAAATGAATATTGAATAACAGTTCTTTTTAATTCATTTAAGAATGCATCAAACAAATACTAATCCAATAACAACAAATTTTTAACGTACTTTTGCAAATACATAATTGAATAACACTAAATTTCAAAGTCCATTAAAAACCCAAATCCAATAACATTTCAACTTCTTAGGCAGAAAATTTCAATATGATTATATAAAGGTAATCAGAAAAAGTGAACATAACAAACTTAAAGAAGGATACCATGTACAAGTCTCATAGATATACAACAACTGAAACATGGATTCAAACAATTTTGAGTTTTATCAGATAACTAATGGTACTAACCTCAATGGAGCTTTGGTATTATTATTAAAGCTTTAGTTGATTTCATACACCATTCTCTCTGATAGCTCGTCCCCGACAACCTTGCGATAGCTTTGTAACATCGGTTCCAGTTGCTTCCGGCCTACAGGAGTTATGATCTGCCGCATATCCTTCCAATTTTTTGTTTTGTTGTCAGTATGAGAGTTTGATAATTGTCAATAAACACCTAATTAGGCTTAGCTATAATTCAATAAAAAAAAAAAAGGAGTTTGATGTACCTTGTATCTATATTGGGATCCATATAGACCGATAAGAATGTTGTTAATGTCGTTATCTTTGGATCCAGGGTCTGACTCAATATGAGAGTCCTCTGATTCAGTCTCATCCATTTCATCATCATCCTCATCCTCATCATCGCTGCAGCCCATAAAATTATCATTCGTCTCCCCTTGTTCCATGTCTTCATGTTCACTAGCTGCTGGTTCCGCTAGAGTTTCAGAAGCACCAGCTAGTAAAGAACATTGATTCTGTGAAATGGCGATATCGGACAAGATGACATATGGCTTTTTATCAAGCATAGGCCTCGCTATTTCAAATGGAACCCACCTGGAAACACAACTCCGAGTGTTCAAAACTTGCATTTACCAGTCTACTCACTTCAATGCCATGTCTAAGAAGTGGACATAAATATCATTTTACAAGTACCAGAACTTCATATGAGATGAGATAATTGATAAGCTAAGGCATAGAGTAAAAAAAAAGAGGACTCAGTTTGGTGGTAACTTACTGGAAACGAAGAGGACATAGAAGCTCAGATGGACAATAGGCTGCTTTATACCTCATCTTCCTGCAGGAATGTATATAATAGCCAAGGTAGTAATACTGAAGAGAAGGGCAGTGAGCTTGGTTTTCTATGACCCAATTAATTTCTTGCATGGCAGAATATTTCCCGAGCGATAAGAATGCATAGTCTGGATCCCAGAATAAGTATACACTTGACAAACATTTAGGAAGAATGTCAACAACCCCGACAGCTATTAAAAGCCCATCAACTCTATATTGTTGGTGGAAAGAGCCGAAGCCACAAGGCGGAAGCTTTTCATCACCTGAAGGTTGAACGTCTATTAAAGGAGAGTCGACCAAAAACCTTCTGTAAGAACTTTCTGCTACGTGCTCTGGCTTATCATTGTGCACTTTTAGCTGATACCGTTTGTATAACTCATGTTCTTCAGGATCAAAACTAGACCTTTTCAAATGTATCTCCAGCTTTCGCTTTCTTGCCTGATGGTTTTCTGAATCCTTCTTAGCGTGAAGGGTTTCACTTCCACCTGTTGAATTGGCTCCTCTCGAGATGTCACCATTAGGTACAACATCTCTATCAGAGAAAGAATCTTTGGCAGCTGAAAAGAAATTGATATGGCCCTTACAGACTTTAATAGACATATCATGAGTTTCCCCCACCTTATGCATCGCACTCAACAACATCTCCGAAATAGTTTCAGGTGATAACCTGTTTCCTTCTGCACTATTTATCCCCCCTTTCTCAGATTTCTGGGTGCGTTTTATTGCAGCTGCTATTGGAAAAGCAATGTTGCTGGTGTATAAGAGTTTTTCTGTTCCTTCAGCTAGTTTCTTTCTTCTAGCACATAAAACCTTCTTCACTGAAGCTTTTGGTATCTGCATATCAGAAGGGAATTCTCCACTCTGTATGTATAATTGCACAGCTTGGTCAATTTTTTTAGACAAGTCATCCATAATTGGTTCAACTTTATTCTTTTCTTCACTTTTGGCAGCTCCAAATGTTTTTCTCCTTGCATCTGAAACTTCACGAGAGGAAGAAGCACCTGTTTGTTCCCTGGGCTGCACATCGAGTTTGCCATCCAAGAACCTTTGACAAAACATTGTTAAGAAAGTTGGGAAACTCTTCAATGAGCAACTTCATTAAAGAAATCTGATGATCTTGAAGAACATTTACACAGTAAACATCAGACTCATAGATCTCTCCTCATATGCAATAAGATGTTTCAAAGGCGAAACCTTTTGGACTCAGCCAATAACATGAACAATTAACACCACTAAAACATTCATCTATTGATCCAAAGAAAGAGAAAGAGAAGAAAACTGAATCTATATGCACCTTTCTAGTCTCCTAGACACTCGCTGCTGTTCTTTAGTAGGAACAAAATCACTTGCTTTCAAACGGATCGTATAAGGAGGGCAGCAAGTTTTATCCATCTCATGTTTGTAAAGATAAGAACCAGATCGTCTCCAGCCTCGGTCAATAAGAGCTGCACATAAACGATCTCTAACTCAATACAAGAAAAGAAAGAGAATTTCAAATCAAAGAGACAACTTTCAGAAATAACTTCCAAGAATATACAGAGTCCAAGAAGAGCAACAAAACCTTGGTAGTCATAAACGGTAAGAGTCTCTGCTGATAAACCTGCATTGATGAAAATGCAAACATTCACTGAGTTCATCAATCTCATATATTCATTGGAAATTTCAGATCATAAACAATATCAATTTTTACAATTCGATTCTACTCTAATCGTAATCGTTGGATTCAGCAACCTAGTCCGTAATAAAATCAAAAATTAAACGAACCGTGAGAGGTACTGGACCGAGCTGGGGATTTACAGTAGCCGCAAGTGCTTCTACGGCGGCCATGATCATCGATTATGCTTGCTCCGTTGCTTCTGCCGTCGTGGCTACTACTCGCATCGTTTTTCAAAGACATAATCAAAAGAAATCTGCTAAGCTCTTTCCTTGTGGAGAAGAGGAAATGATCTTCTTTCACATTTGACTTTTTTTTTTTTTCAATATTTTGTTGGAGAAACGTTGTTGCTGACTGTTTTAGCAAATTAAAAAAAAAAAGACCTAAAATACAAGAAAATTGTTGGCTGTTTTAGCAAAAAAAATTGAAAATAAAAATCTAACTTACAAATTACAATTAGCAAAATTAAGTAAATTTTGTTTACACCTACCCTTAAAACTTCTTCATAAAAATTATAAAAGTTTTATAACCATCTTATAAATTGTAAAAGAGATATTTTTGAAAAAATTTCTTTTGATTTTCAAATCTGAACATACTATTTTTATCCTTTATCATTTTGTTTGTATTTTTTTTTTCTTATTTTTCCTTACACTTTTTTGTCAATTTGTTTTTTTTCCCTCTTCTCAGTTTCAGAAATTACAATGTATTAATAAAATTGTACATAAGATATTTTGGAAAAAAATGATATAACTATAGTGATATAATTAAATTCCAACGTATTAATAAAATTGTACATAAATGATATAACTATTTGGCAAAATGAAGGGGGTATTATGTAATTATAAATGGAATAGAGGAAGAAAATGCAAAATCAAAACATTTTGGGGCAAAAGATAAACACGAAAAAATAATGGAATCAATAAACAGATTTCGATAGCATCCGCAGATTTGGATCAAAACCCTAATTCTCCAGTTCAATCTTCGGAAATGGCAAGCCTGTGGCGAGCTGTGATCGGCGGTCAGAGCAACAATTCCGACGACTACGGAGGCGTAGAGTTCTGGTCCAACCCTGAACGAACCGGCTGGCTCACGAAACAGGGAGAGTACATCAAGACTTGGCGACGCCGATGGTTCGTGCTCAAACAAGGGAAACTCTTCTGGTTCAAAGACTCCGATGTCACGCGCGTGTCACGCCCTCGCGGTGTCGTCCCCGTCGCGTCGTGCTTAACCGCCAAAGGAGCAGAGGATGTCCTCAACAAGCAAAACGCGTTCGAGCTATCGACGAGAGATGAGACTATGTACTTCATCGCTGATTCGGAGAAGGAGAAAGAAGATTGGATCAATTCCATTGGACGGTCCATCGTGCAGAACTCCAGATCTGTTACCGATTCTGAGATCGTCGATTACGATAACAAACACTAGTTCTTGATTTCTCTGTTTTTGTCTTTTGTGTCAAAATGTAAAATCCCACCAAATCAAGAAATGAAAAGGCTTTGTCTCTGCTTGTAATCAAGAGATATACACGTGATTCCAAGCTTAAGCCTCTGTTGTCGATCACATTCAGGCTTGAAAACATGAACTCATATCCGAAAAACATATATATAAAACCTAATTCTTCAATGGAAACTCTTCTAGTTCAAAGACTTTATGGTTCTTGAAACATTTAGTTACCAAATAAGGAGATTTCACAGTTTAATCAAAAAAAAAACATGGATGGTAACAAAAGCAACACGTGATCAGAAATACGATAACATCGTCGTATGCATGTATAGAAAGTTCCTCTCGTCATTAATTGTCCTAAACCCTACCCGCTTCCATCCATCTTCTTCGTTTCTTAGAAACCCTAACATGGGAATGTAAGTATTGATTTCCCACAACAGTTTTTTTCTCTTTCTTTTAAGATTTTTTTAACTAATTAGGTTTCGCAGAAACAGAATAAATGTAAGCAAGTTGTCTTTTTTTTCGGCCTTGTTTATATCACAGGTCGAGGATAATCGTTAAGAATCTTCCTCCCAAATATATGACAGAGGATCGACTTCGAAATGTCTTTTCAAAAAAAGGAGAAATCACAGACGTGAAATTGAGGCGTAAGAGGTATATACTTGTACATTCAAATCGAGTGTTTTTTCACAGCTAATTGTTGTGTCTTACTGTATGTTGGAATTTATCACTATATATAAAATATATATATCGTTTTTTCTTTTGCAGTGATGGCAGAAGTAGACAATTTGCTTATATTGGCTTTCGTACTGAACAAGAAGCTCAAGATGCTATCACATATTTTAACAAGTCTTTCATTGATACTATTCAAATATCTGTTGAGGTAATTAATTTTCACTTAATTCACTTTTGTAGTACTACAGTAGTTTGAATTATCTAATTTAGATTCTCCTTTGGCAAATAGGTTGCGATCCCTCCTCCGAGGAAAGAAGGCAAGGTTATTGAAAATAGTGAACATTTTTCTAATGCTTATGCTAAAGGAGACAAAAAGTTTAAGAAGAAAGCAGAGGCTGATCATGATCCTCAGCTTCAAGAATTTCTTGATCAGCATACGAAGTTGAAATTCTGGTCCAATGACATGTGTATTCCTCGTTCCTCCGGCAAAGAGAAGGTCTCGCCTGTAATTTTTTCCAATGGTGCTGATGAGCCTAACAAAGCCAAAACATCATTATTAGATACTACAGAGAATAAAGTTGGTGATGATGTTTCTGATATGGAATACTTCAAGAGTCGGATATATGGAATACTTCAAGAGTCGGATAAAGAAACATCTGTCGTATTCGGACAGTGATTATTATGAAACTGATAGTCGTGAAGATGCAATTCATGCTTTTCCTATTGATGGAGATATTGAAGCTGACAGAGTTGATGTTCTTGACACTGGTCGCCTTTTCGTCCGAAACCTGCCTTACACTGCAACGTAATGGATCTTTTCTTGTTTGTCTTTTCTTTCTTGTTTCCTGATTGTCCTTTGTGTTATTCATCTTATACATCTCTATTTGCTGTAAAACAAATCTCATGATATAGAGAAGAAGAGCTTACGGAACATTTCAGCAAATTCGGTGAAATATCAGAGGTCCATCTTGTTCTTGACAAGGAGACAAAAAATTCCAGAGGAATGGCCTTCGTCCTTTACCAGATACCGGAATATGCAAAAAGGTATCATAATTCATACCAATTAAAAAGTTCTAAGTGCATGTTTTTCAAGAAGTAGAGCCTTATGTTGATCTTTAGCTGTTAGTTCAGGTTTTAAATCGTTAATTTGGATGATGTTGCAGGGCAATGGAGGAATTAGATAACAAAGATTTCCAGGGGCGGCTGTTGCATATTTTACCAGCTAAGAAGCCTGATAAACAAGTGTCAGTGACCAGTTCTATGTTTCGGTCTGTAATATTTGTTTTTTAGACTAGAATTTTCATCAGTTGTTGTTTATCATGGCTTTCCCCAACAGAAATAACTCTTCTAATCTGCCAAAAGCATTCAAGCAAAAGAGGGAGGAACAAAGAAAGGCGTCTGAAGCCAGTGGAAATACAAAAGCTTGGAATAGTTTTTTCATGCGACCCGATACTGTACCTTTTCTTGTTTCAAGAATGCATCCATTTTAAACCTGGCTTTTTGCTTTGCTTCATGTTTGTTTTTATCTTTTTGTGTTGTAGGTCGTGGAAAACATAGTCAGGTGTTATGGTGTAACAAAGAGTGAGTTTCTTGACCGTGAATGCGACGATCCTGCAGTACGACTTGCTTTGGGAGAAACAAAAGTGATTATGGAGACCAAAGAAGCACTTGCTAAAGCTGGAGTACGTGTCACCTCTTTGGAAGAATTTTCTGCACGGAAAGGTGATGTGAAGAACCGAAGCAAACATATTCTCTTAGTAAAGAATTTGCCATTTGCTTCCAGTGAAAAGGAACTGGCTCAAATGTTTGGAAGATTTGGAAGTCTAGACAAAATTGTTCTCCCTCGGACGAAGACGTTGGCTTTGGTATTATTCTTTCAACGAATAGGTGATTCTTCTCTAACCTGTTCTGTTCTCTAACCTGTGCTTACATGACTTTCAGTTTGTTTTCCTTAAACCGGCTGAGGCACGTGCAGCTATGAAGGGAATGAAATACAAGCGTTACAAGTAAGCTTTAACATTATTGTTTCTGTGTGTATAAAGTCTTTCTTTCTTCCCCTAAAGTGCTTCTTGGAGATAAATGATTGTCCTAGTTTAACCAGACTGCTTTCCTTATTATTACAGAGATGCTCCCCTGTATCTGGAGTGGGCTCCTGAAGATATTCTTGAGCCAAAAGCACTTCCTGATAACAATGAAAAGACGAGTGATGTTGAAGAAAATGATGTGAGAAGACTCAACTTGGATCAGCAGGTTGGAATCGATTTGGATATAACTGAGGTATGTCCACTTTATGATAGCTGTGGACGTTTTGAAATCATACGTTCTTCCTTTTTGTGTGGTATTGAACTATATGAACTAATTTCTGTACGGGTTTAGTATTATATCATGTAAGTTTCAGGGTTAGGTACGTACTGAATAATTTATGTTCAGTGGCTCCAAGTTTTCTGATCAATCTTCTAACGTTTTCTTTAAATAATGCATTATATTTCAGTCAAATGTCCTTTATGTTAAGAATCTGAACTTCAACACAACTGATGAGAGTTTGAGGAAGCATTTGACTGAACTGGTGAAGCAGGGAAAGATTCTGAGTGTTAAGGTAAGTTCTTGTTCATTGCTGACAGATGATGATGATATGCAGTTAACCATCATAAGTCTGTTTTTGATATTCCTTTAACCATCATAAGTCTGTTTTTGATATTCCTTTCTTTTTCACTGTAAAGCAGATAAAAAAAAATGGGAAGAGTCGTCCTCGTTCAAGCGGTTATGGTTTTGTAGAATTTGACTCCGTAGAGACAGCGACCAGTGTCTACAGAGATCTACAGGTATATTATCTAGTTAAGTCTCTTTGAAACTTGAAGTTGATTGGACTGGATGAAGTAGGGTGACACTTTTTTGTTTGTTTGCAGGGAACAACTTTTCTGGATCGGCATAAATTGATCTTGAGATTCTCTGAAAACAAGCGGAGTGAAACAAGACTTTGGCAAAGTTACATGTGAAAAATGTAGCTTTTGAAGCAACCAAGCAAGAACTAAGACAGCTTTGCAGTCCATTTGGACAGATCAAGAGAGTTGGGCTTCCAGAGAAGAATCCGGGAAGATATGCTGGTTATGGTTTTATTGTATTTGGGACAAAGCAAGAAGCTTTAAACGCTAAAAAGGCATTATCCAACACCCATTTCTATGGACGCCCTTTGGTAAGTCTTATGTTGTGTAGTCATCTCTCTAGCCTGTTCATTTTGACATCCTTGGATGCATCCTCAACTCTCTCTATATGAGATCTTTGCAGGTGCTCCAGTGGGCTAGGGATGACAAGAGAAAATCTTCTGCTGCCAAGTATGTGCAATAATCCAAAGAAAAGGAAAAGCTCGACAGTTGTTGGTGAAAGAAGAATGAAGTTTGAGAGAATATCTGAATAGGGCTCTCTATAGTTTGTTTTGAGTATATTATTGACCATGGTTTCTATTGTAACATTTTCAGAGCTTCATTAATGGAGTCTAATTGCAATTCTCACAATATCAAGAAAAAGAAAAACCTTTGTTCTGCTTGCAACTGTTTTATACACATGAACTCGGAGTTACAAAGAAAGCCTCTCTGTTCTTGGGCACATTCATTTTTTAACAAATGCAGATTCAGCCAAGTCGATGGCTCGAGCAAGACCAGCGGCTTTGTTCTGGCACTCACAGTGTTCGTCTTGCGGGTCACTATCAGCTACTACACCAGCTCCAGCTTGAAGATAAGCCACCCACTCACGCCGTTTGTTAGCATCCTTGTAAGAGTACATTGTATTGTATTGACATGCTGTCGGGAAAACGATTGTCCTAAGGGATAAAGCAATGTCCATGTCACCAGTGAAGGAGACTCCACCAAAACCGCCACTGTATGGTCCACGCCTTGTTGGCTCTAGCTCATCGATTAGTTCCATGGCTTTGACCTTTGGCGCACCACTAACTGTTCCCACTGGTAAAGCCGCACGTAGTGTGTCCCAGCAAGTCAAATCATCTTGTAACTCTCCTGTCACCTAATCACATAGAACTTAAGATGATTAGGAACACTTAACAAGAATTGAATAATTGATATGATGATAATTAACAACACTTACGGTTGAACTTATATGCATAACATGGGAATAACGTTCGATGTTCATAAGCTTCTCTACTTTCACTGAACCGTATTTCGCAACCTTTCCAACATCGTTACGACCGAGATCAACCAACATGATGTGCTCAGCACATTGCTTTTCATTCTCTAGCAGCTCCTTCTCAAATCTCTTATCCTCAACTTCATTCTTCCCTCTCTTACTGGTTCCTGCCAATGGCCGATTCACTATCTTGTTCTGCTTCAAATATGATATAAAGGTTAGCTTCAAATATGATATAAAGATTAATGCAACTTTGAGATAACAGAACTTTTACCTGCTTTACTTTGGTGAGAATTTCGGGACTTGATGCTACCAAAATACATCCTCTAGCCTGAATAACAGAACGAAAACAGCATTAATGGTTTATCCACAAGTACAAAATGCAAAGTTGTTGAAGAAACGTTCTCTCCATCACCAACCTGCAAATAACCCATATACGGACTTGGATTCACAACTCTTAGTGCTCTATACACTTCAAAGGGGTCTGCAAATGTTCGCCGCTCAAAACGTTGGCTCAGCACGATCTGGAATATGTCTCCTGCAAGTATATGTTCTTTGGCCTTGACCACAGCCTCCTTGTACTCTTCGCATGTCACGTTTGAATTATCCAAAGACGGCCCAAATTGTCGTGTCTGAAGATTCACGTTACCTGCAGACAGTTTTGGCCTGCATAGATTCACAGCGGGAAAAAAAAACAACTTTTAAGAACAGTAACCAAAAGGGGCTCACAAACTAAATCGATTCAAAGAGATACTCACGGCTCAATATCGTGTAACTTGGCCACCAAGTTCTCCAAATGTTGCATTCCATTACTGTATGCCTTTTCGTAAGGAAGGCTACCATCTAGTCTAATCCAGTGAATGACATATGCTTTCTGTAAAATTTACAAGGAATCTCTAGTTACCACTTCAAGAACAAGATAAAGCATAAAAAGGAAACTAAGATGCATGTCTCAGTTAATCATAAAACATGGATGGTGACAGAAGGATTACCTTTTCCACGTGATCAAATACAACTACATCGTCGTACAGACCAAGATGCATGTCTGGCAAGTTCCTATCATCCTCAGGGGCCTTTGAAAATGGCAATTTCCTCTTCTCAACGTAACGAACCGTGTCGTACGAGAAAAAACCAACCCACCCACCTATCATTATAAAGCAATCTTATTAAGAGATACCACTTCAAGAACAAGATAAAGCATAAAAAGGAAACTAAAGAACACTAGGGGCAATCAATCTTCTATCTAAAAGTGCAAGAAAAGCCATTCAATAATGTAAAGGCGACTTGGGGACAATTAATTTATGGACAAAAGGAAGAGGGCAAACTAGATCACATCAGTGACAGAATGAGCAGCACAGGAAGGGGAAACAGAAAGTTCTTTACTTTATCATTTGCTCTTGCCTCATTGGGAAATTAGACGTACATGTCTACAACTAGGAATCCCATGTCGAAAACTGTAAAAGACCTAATATGGTATGGTACATAATGAACACGGGCTGCGTGCATTAATTGCTAATTGGTTTTGAGATAGAAATCCATGAAACTTGACATTTACAAAGATCACTCAAAAGCAAGAGCTTATCTCGAAAACATCCATACCATTAGCACATCTCCCCAAAGGATAACTCTTCTACAAAGTGATTCAATCTAAACAATGAAGAAGAATGTCTTACCACAAAAGGCATCTGGAAGGTCCTGAACTAGTTGAGGATCAGGGTTCCATTTCTCGGAGATTTGTCTAGGGATCTCCATTGGATCTTCGACATATTCCTCAGTCATGGTTTCATTACTGTGATCCATTACAATAACTTTATTCTCCTTTGCCACGATCTCCATGGCAGGTTGAGCCCCAACAACGCTATAACGACCCTATCGAGAAGAATCAGATGAAAAGAAACAATTTAGGAACTGAGACATATTAACAGATAAAAAGGATACACAGAAAGATTCTATACTTACAACGCTTGACATCTGAGAACCTGGCTCAACGGACTCGAAAAGAAAGCTAGGAGCTTCACGGTCATCTTCTTTAACCAAACAACGGTAAGCAAGAACCGGAGTAAGCTGATCAGAGAATATACAGCGGTAAATTGGTATAAGGTTTGTGCTCTTAGAAGCATCTGCCAACTTCTTTGTATCACTTACTGGAAACAACAAATTCACAAGCATGTATCAGAACTATTTTCATGAAGATTCACATTCACAATCAAACCTCATAGAATTGAAATTTTAGCTTGACCTAATTGTCATTTTCCCGCATTTTATCGGTAAGAAATCAAACAAGCCAAAAAGAAAAGAAAAAAACGAAGAGCATTGCTTCACCTATGGAAGCTTCCGGAGAAACAGAGACGCATTTAATCGAAGGGAAAGAAGGCGCGTAAGCCGAGCTTCTACCGGAATATCCAGTAACGGTCACAGAAGAAGAAGAAGAGAGATAGCGAGAAGCCACAGAAGGGACAAGCCGGCGAGAGAAAGTCAGAGGTTGCATCGTCGCTACATTCATTGAGGAAGACATTGTAACGGCTACGAACTCGGTGGCGGTTGGATGCGGCGGCCGGAATGTTGAAAAATATCGGAGAAGAAGATTCAGAGGTGACGGCTAAAAGCGTCAATTGATTAGTGATTATTCTATGCGAATGACGAATGGATTAATCAGGAGATGTGGCATGTATTTATAAAGATGACCATGTTACTTATTTGTTGATTTACTTTATTACCCCTTACCTGTATTTTCCATTTTTTCCTCATTTTTCTCTTAAGTCACGTGCATGTCTTATGTACTGTGGGTGTGGAACTATTAATATGTATAAATCATTAGGCCCAAATCATGACAAAAATATTTTTTATATAGTTTATCGGCCAAAAATCGTAAATGTTTTTCACCTTACAAAATTCAGGGCCGATCCTGTCTGTCTGTAGCATATGCATATCATTTGTTGTTCCAGTGTAATGAAATAAACTTTCAACAAAAGCAAACTGTCTTTCACAAAGATTGCATCCCTTTCATATGCGAACGATACGAACCGTCGTCTTTCTCAACAGTCAAAAACCCTTATCTTCTTACTTGATGTTCAAAAGTCTTTCTTTATTAATTAATGCCGTTAGAGGACAATCGTCAAGTATGCGTTTTTAACTTTTTCAACAAAAATAAAAAGCTCTAGCTGTAGCATGCCCTAATAGCCGAATGTTAACAATACTACTTCTACCAGATTGTTATAGGCAGATGGTGATGTATTTAATTTCTTCAGTCAATTATATAATAGTACGAATGTAGAAACTTTGACCTTTTCTTAAAATAAACAAACAATCGTAGTAGGACTATCTAAATGGGAAGGTTGCTACCAACCATAATCAAAATCCATCCACATTAAAAGCATGTGCTTTTCTTCTTATCATTTACCTTCCAATCTCATTATATTATTCTTTCCTCATATTATACTAATATTCCTTACTAGTCATTTCTTTATCTTTTATATTTTTTGAATATGTTTTGTAGAATTTATTTGTCACACGTCTAATTTAGTTTAAATTTCTAATACTTAGTTTAATACGAACATATTAACAAACATTTTGAACATTAACTAATCTGAATATAACACTACGTACTTTCCATTAACAATGTTGGTCCATTCTGTTTTTCCAACCATCGAAAGTCCCTTTTTCAAAATCCAGATTGGTAATTAACTTTTGAGAAAATTTTGGTTTGTAGAACAAGAACAAAAACATAACTTAAGATGTAAAAGTAGAACATAACTTAGAGACCAAAACAAAAGGTTACAACTATATCTCTGATTTCTTACTGAGCTGTGTAATGATATGAGTCACTTCACAAGCCAATCATCATGGCTTCATTGCCGGTGAAAGCAAATGGGTAAGGCAAACACACAAGCAAGGAGAGAAACAGAACCAGGATTCCTAGAGACACATACTTATCATCAGGTGCCGTGATTTCTTCAGCCAGCGGTGCAATCGGTCCACGCTGCAGGAAGAATATCAGAACCACCCAGTAGAATGCCACGTCACTGAACAACGCCGATAAGCCCAAAAGCGCTATGGATGCACCTGTGAGCCGTGTTGCGGTCTGAAATCATTTAGAAACATATATAATTCTGATTACTACCCAATTAATCTCCGATGAGTACAAGACAGTATTAAGCTTTTTAAGACATTCTAATTAATGTTACCTTTCTACCCCAAATGGAGAAAGCTATTCTGCCCCCATCGAGCTCCCCCGCAGGAATGCTGTTAATGCCATTGATGAGAAGTCCAGCCCATGCCCAGATCACAAGTGGGTTAAGAGATATTGAAGTTCCTTCTTTAAGTGCATCACCTAGTAAGAGCTTTGCTATAATAGAAAAAGAAACAAAATTTAAACATTGATTAACACTTTAGCTTCAGCCTTCAACACTTATCATATTTGATTAAGAGCTAAACCTTACCAATACCACCAGCAAGGAAGGACTCGTGAAACACTGATGCGTCAACTACAACGCCAATGCCGTCACTAGGAGGCACGAACAACCCTAGAAGAAACAGAATCAAGCCTAGAGAAAAGCCAGCCAAAGGTCCTGCAGCTGCGACCTTCAAAAGATCTTCTCGCTTGGCTACGATATTTTTGATTCTCGTTATAGCACCGAAAGAGCCTATCTGCCATCTAAAACATGTTCATCAAATGTCTAAAAACCAAAATTCAGCTGAAAGGATGTTCCTTTTCTTTCAAATAGAACATTGCATCTTCACCTGCCAACTTGGAACAAAGAATGGAACACCAAGCTTTATCCCTAAGCTATTTGCAACTAAAATGTGTCCCAGTTCATGTACTCCAAGGACAAGAGTGGTGACAAGAGCTCCCGGTAAGCCATCTTTCAGCAGTTCAAGGTTGTCAAATGCCGATCTGCAGTTAAATTTATATATGAGAGGAAATGTTTTATTCAGTTTGATGATTTGGAAGTATAACATATTCTGGAGAAAACATGTTCAAGATGTTCTTACAGTAAGTCGGATTGCAAGGCGGGCACATTACGGAGAAACAATGTAAACAATGCCACCAATCCAAAAGAACCAGCAGCAAACCATTCAGGAACAGCTGCAATTATATGTAGTACCCAGCTAAAACTTGATAATGTGAGAGATCCTTATAACGGGGAAGTATATAGCAATATACCTGTTGTTTCGGGTTCTAAGGACCTTCTTGGAACAACAACGGCCACAGGTTTATCATCCTCAGGATTGGAGAGGAGGAAAAGCTTGTACTGGTCACCAAAATTATTCTGCAGATTGATGAGCAATATACTATTACTCTTTGTCACAGCATGTGCTTGTCAACGATCATAGTTAAGAAAGGAAACCCAAAAAGCAGAATTGTTACCTCCATCCTCGTCTTTATCTTCTCGTAACTTTTAGCAGGCTCGCCCCTTAGGTTTCCTTTGAACAATACCCCACCCTACCAACATTGTCCCAAAAATGTGATCCAACAATAAGAGAATTTTCAGAACCTCGTATTTATGTTTCATCAAAAGGAAAGTTGATAATAACCTTAGGAAAAAAAACTGATGAGGTTCTCACAGACTCACCTCGTATGGTTCTTGACTTGTTACGAAGAAGGTGTCAAACCCGAATACTTGGCCCCTGAGAATATCAATGGTTTCCTTGGGGAGTCTCATGGAATCATCCAATTGTAATGGCTGTTCACAACAACTTTTTATGAAAGATAAATAAATAGAAAGCATTAAGCTGTCGCCTTTGTATTTAACATTGTTGGTAATACTTACATTCACACCAGGAAGAGGAGAACCACTGCTAACTTCTAATTTATCACCGTCCTATTCCAAATGCAGTAGAGTATAACACATTCAGAAACAAAACCAAGAAACTACATATATGGAAAATGATAGCTATTGAGCTGTGTAACGACGTTATGCAATGCTTTCAAATTAGATTCAATTAGTTTGAAGTTTCACTAACCAGATTAGCTGCAAGTCTGGAAACAAAACTTATAAATTGAGCTTCAATTTCACTATGGATGCATTAGTTACCAAGTACGAGGACAATACCTGAGAACTGAGCTGAGCTTTGTTTTCCTCCTCATTGCCCGGCGCTTCATTCACAATTGTTGACTGTGAATTCAACTCAGTAGGAATTTGTGTAGGTGGATCATCTGCTGAAGTCTCTTTGCCTTCTTCACCATTATTATCCTGCAAAGAAGAACTTATGAACTCAGTCACAGATATGTACCAACACTTGTAATCAATCCAAAAACGCCAATTACCTAATTACAAAAGAAAATTACCCACAACATTGGAAATCAAAAACAGCATCCACATTGATACCAAAGCAAATACCTCATCGTTATTGCCTTCTGGTTCTGTTTGCGTCTCCGTCACTCTAACCAAAGTCTCTCTCTTTCTGAAAACTCTAAATTCAAAGCCACCAGAATAAGTAGACAAAGAAGTAGTAGTGCTCACGGATTAACAAAAGAAGAAGATGAATAACAAAAATATGAAACCTTTCAAGCTTCAGATTCTTCTTCCTTCGAGATGTTCTTGTTTGCCCAAAATTGAGACTCGAAGTAGCAGCTACAAAAGGCTGAAACTGAAGACTACAATATGAGCTGCATTGCGACAAGACGCCGAAATTGCCGCGAAAACTAGCCACCGCGAGATTCATGTCCTAAGAAAAAGTCGATACTTTTTAGGTTCTCCGATCAAAACCCTGATGCCATTATTACAAAGTAAAGATTTTTAATTTATGTTCTTCAGATACTTTGTACGATTTCAGATGCTGTGTCCTCTCGTGGTTCGCTTATCGCTGGAGGAGAGAGGATCTTTCATTTATCCGTTGGAGGAGCTCTTTCCAAGAATAACGCCTTGTCGTTTTTTCGCCTACTATAACGACATGTAGTTTCTTTCTTAATATATCAAACGACACGTTTATGTAGTGAGGATAGAGTTGAGTTTTACAAAAATAATTGGGCCTATTAATTGTTTACAAAAGCTCTTTAGGTTTCATATTTATTCATAAATTAATTGAATTTTATAATTATTTGGGCCTATTAATTTTATTCATTACTTATGGGCCTAAAAATAGAATTTGGTCCCTCAATGTAGACATGCTATAAAACTTAATTATGTATACAAAGAAAAATTAAAACATTGGGCTTTAGATATATTAGGTCTTAGTGTCTTACATATATTGGTCATTGGACCTGGTGCAAATGCAAAGAACCGGGCCTGATTATAAGACCAAAGCCCGAACTAATTTACATATTTGTTCCTCAAACTTTGCCGACACGACTGCCCCTACTTGATAATGAAAACGGCATATGTTCTTTGGTTTAAACAACACGATGTTCTCTACTTAATTTACAAAACGCAAGCATGTTCTCGTGCAATCCTTGTGAAAGTCTTTTATTCTCTAGAAAGGCTTGATGTGTGGATTGTGGAGGAGGAGACGATATTTTCCAATCGTCGGTCGTTTGGAAAATTGCTCATATCTCTGATGAACTTCGATCGGTGCGAGAAACCCTAATTCCTCGGGAGTTTCCGATAGTCTCATCGGGAAATTGCTTTCCCGTTGAACAATGGATGGTAACAAAGATGACGCGTTGAAATGCCTGAAAATCGGCAAGGAACAAGAGATTTGATACACCAGGAACAAGAGATTAAATGGCATTGTTTCAAGCCACAAAGAAGAGAAAGACAATGAGGAACAAGATGATAACAGCAAAGATCTTCATCATGAGCCATCTATTTGACGAAATTCGAGTGAGATGCTGCAGAAGAGCGCTGCGTGCTCCCTCTACATTAACTAACGATTCATCCATATTGTCATCAATTCTGTTTCATAAAACTAACAGGTGTTAGATGCTGTTCCCTGCAACTTGGAAAATGTCGGGTTGGTTGTGGGTAAGAAACGTTAAAGAACCTGATTGCTAGCTCTCCTTGTTGTGTGACCATTGTAGCTAGATGCGTGAATATTCCACTGAGCTCTGTTATTGTTGATTCAACACTGTGAAGTGCAACTGCTCGGCTTTGGCTATAGTTCTCCTGCCTAGGGACTGTTTGCTGCAACATGGACATCTCCATTTGCTGTGAAGGAGCATTCTCGATCGCAGATCTGCGTCTGTTTCAGCATGACATGAACAAAAAAAATCATGTTTTATACATGATTTTGACCTAAAAGCATAACGGAGGACAAACACAATCAAGAGTTGTAAGTTGGGAATTAGGACATACCTGAGCTGGCTACCTGGAGGAGCTCCAGTATTTACTGGCGGCAATCTGATCGGTTACAAGAGACAAAACCTAGTTAGAGGAGAGTAACTATTACTTAAGAAATAGTTTTTGAACAAAACTCACAGTGGTTGTTGTAAATTCCCGTAAGGATTTGATGAACTTGACCAAGGAGGAGGCTCAGGTACAGATTTTGCATTATTCTGAGGCGGACTATCTACTGCATTTTTTGTGGAAAAGAGTTGTTTCCGGTTTTCATGAGCCTTCATGTTCTGTAGGAAGACAAGAAAACACGGTCCTTGTAGGAAAATAGGCAGATACATATATCAAGAAGAAGTTGACAAATCTACAAATCCAACCTCTGATCTGGTAGTTAGAACATCTTGAAGTTGCTTAGTAGCTCCCATAAGTCTGGTTTTCAAGTCATCACAAACAGCGGTGTAGTGACCAACTTTGTCCTGTGAATAATTCCCATCAGCAATCTCCATGTTCTGAAGGGTTTGCAAATCCGAGAGAGCCATATTCAGCCCCGTGATATCGTTCCTGATCAACACAGTTAACTCCTGTATTTCCACAGTCCGGTCATTGAAAATCGACGATTGTTTTGCCACTGCATTTCATCAACAGTTTCAGATAAACAAAAACTAAGGCTGTCTTCAATTGTAATCACAACAATGTCTCTAGAATCGTTTCAAGATCATATGCAATAACATGTAAACACACACTAATGACATCCACAGCAAGCAAAATGGGTCTGATCTCCATTTGTTGCTTCAAGCTAAATGCCTAAAAGCAGAGTTACGCAACACCTTTCCTACAAAACACAAAGCCTAATATCACTATTGGAATCTATGTCTTAACTTCATTAGAATCCGAAAAAAAAGAACACACAAAGCCTAATATCACTATCCGGATCAAATAACCTACATTTCTCGCGTTTTTTTTCAAATCAAGAACGAAATCATGATTTCAGCAGGAATTAAACATGAAGATGACGAGCATAGATCTGATTCTGAACCATACATTTAGCGAGCCTCGCGATCTTCTGAGACGTTTCGTGGATTCCTAACCCGATCCGGGAAGCCTTCTTATTGAATTCGGATCCCGGAGACGACCGTTTGGATGATGCCGGATCATCTTCATCTTGATGAACGGACGGGATCGCTCCGATCTTCTTCAACGTTTGGGACAATGAATGAAACTCCACCGTCCGATCCCTGAACGTCGAGCCCATCGTAGGGTCAGACTTGGATCAAAATCACCGGCAAATTTGATGAATTTCCTCCTCAAGAGTAATGAGAAACAGAATAAGAAATAGATGAAACTGCGTGTCATTATTATGTTATAACATTATACATCTTGTTGTTTTTTCTCCTGTGGACTGTGTCCCGTTTTAATCAATCTAATTTTGGGCCCAAAGCCCAATATTATGAAAACACACAATAGCCCGTTAGATTCGCAAGTAAGAATAAAGTATGAGATTAGAAAGTCGTAAATGGAATTAAAGTTTTGGGGTAATGTTGGATGGATCAGCGACAAACGTGGAAGCCAGGAGATCCAAAAAGGAAGCTTCCCAAGCTTCGTGAGGCGTAGGAGGAGTCTACATTTTAAGCGTGCCACAATTTCATGCCCTTGTTTCCCGATTTTGCGATTTTTTCATCTTTTCTCTTTTTTTTTTTTTTTTGCCGTCTAGATTTATTATTTATTGCGATTTTTTTCATCTTTTCTCTTTTAATTACGTACAAATAATATTAATTCATAGTTCAAATCATCAAATGTTATGACTTATGAAGTGAGTGTTTATATATCAATGAATTCAAATTTGAAATAGAAATGTATTGATTATTAGGAATGTGGCCTAACTTAACCCAAAAGCTAGCTCAAGAGTTAAGGATTGCCACATCCTTTATATACTACCCAAAGATCTTAATCCCAAGCAATGTGGGATATTCTAATAGGCCTCCTCGAGATGTGGGTGGGAAACGGTCCAACGGGAAACAGCCCAAGCCCAACATCTCGGAAATACAACAAGACATGCCACTTATATGGGCCACATAGGTGGGAAACCATTTTTGTGTGGGAATTTGCTTGTTGGGCCAACCTTGGGCTCTGATACCATATTAGGAATGTGGCCTAACTTAACCCAAAAGCTAGCTCAAGGGAGGAGGTTTGCCTCATACTATATATATTGCCCAAGGATTTTATTTTTCTTTCCGATGTGGGACTCTAACACACCCCCCTCACGCTCAGGACTGGACATCTGAAGCGTGAAGTTTGTGGGACTGGACATCCACGGATGGTAGCCCACTTTCGAGAAAGTTGAACCTTGGCTCTGATACCATATTAGGAATGTGGCCTAACTTAACCCAAAAGCTAGCTCAAGAGTTAAGGATTGCCACATCCTTTATATTGATTCTCTCACTTTACCAATCGTTTTATCTTGAACGCATTTAGAGATGAGAGTTTCTGTTTTTTTTATTCAATTGGAATCATAAGACGAACTTATGCAATCTGAACAAAAGCCACGACAATAATTTGATTTTTGACAACGCATGATGTTAACTTAGTAATAGTAATATGAAATCAAAATTAATAAAGACCATTTGCTTGCCATATAGTAATATATATTTATTTTAGTTTCTTATAAGATTTGGTAAACTTTAAAAAAAAAAACTCTTGATGATCACATAAACGACATTGACCTAGGAGTTAGAGCAAGGAAAAAGAAAAAGAAAAAACCTTTGCCAAGAACTACTAGCCAAAACGTATGTCGCATGAAGCTTTATATTTCTTATAAATTGTAAACAGTACTATAACCTTAATATAAAAAAACTAGAAATATTTCTTTAATGGTGCATGGAACATCATTGGGAATAATTGCATGTAAGTAGTGGGCATTACAATTGTGAGACCACCTTCGACTTTTTTGACTAGGATAAGAACACACTCTCCCTCTCGATCGGACTACTACACAGATATGTTCTCTTTTACAGGATATGATTCATATATATGCTCCAAAGTAAAATTTTGTTTTGATACAACATACCTGAATAAAACCAATAATATGTAATATGTATCATGCATCCAACGTTTTCAAATGTCGTAAAAGATATAATTTTTTTGACATTTTATATTATTCAAAATCACAAGTTATATTAAGTTTAAAAATCATATTAAAACTTCATAAAATTAGTCTTTTAACAGAAAAGTTCGAATCATATAACACAAAATGATTTTTCTCTTTTAACCCAACATTTCATTGATGAAAAATGGTCTAATGAAAATTTTGTTGGCAAGAAAACATTTAAATTTGTTCCAATTGATATTATGTAAGTCAATACAAAAAGAGTTATCTACTAGTTAATGTATGGATGATTCCAAGTAGAAAACGCCAACATAAACTTTGACTCTGAGGCCGAATCGATCTGCTTTCTTTTATTTTTCTTAAAACTTTGCAATTAAATTTGTGAAGTGTGATGATAAAATACATAATAATGTTGTACGCATTAGTATGTTGTGTAGCAAAACGACTCTTGTTTGTAAAAACAATATTTGGTTTTATTCTAATTGTCATTTTATTCTTTGGATCTTTAGTTCTCGCTTAGGTCTCGTGCACGTCTTCCTCAAAATCATCGCCAGTAAATTACACGTACACATTATTCACAACGACACACATATATCGCTCCATACCAAAATACATCTTAATAAAATACTCTACAACTATCATTTGGATTGATTTTTAGATAACATTGTTATGAGGAAGTATACTTACGTAGCGTTATACTATACCAAGTCTACCATAACTGGTTGTAAATTTATGTTTTGTTGATGCTCGGATCGAACAAAATAATTTAAAGGATTTAGAGAAGAACGTAAAAATCTTATATATTAAACGAGTTGGAGTTCGCCAGTTCGGTCATTAATTTGGATCTGATTTTTTAAAATTGATATATTAAATATCCAAATACTAATTTGAATATTTAAACACTAAAATAATTAAACAACACCTAATCTGAATACATTTTATATATTAGAAACATAGTTTTATATACATGGTTAGTTATTAATCTTCTTGTAAAGTCTTCCACTTAATTTTCTAATCACCACCAGCCGACCAAACTACTTTATCAAGTCACAGCTTTTGTGGAAAATATTCCGTTAATTCATGAGCTTTTCTATATGTTCACACAATACATAATCATTATAAAAAAAAAAAATTGCGGCTAATTTTAGAATTATCATACGATAACAGTCTGATCACACGCTAATATGTTCTCTAGCTTAAATTTGCAACATAAGAATTCAAACATCAATCAACCCGGCCCACAGGCTACAATATCCCACATGGCCACATTTAGTCAATAACCAAATTAATCAGTTTACAATTACTGATAAAATTACGTATATGTATATGCATACGTAGCACATAACCCTAGCTAACTGGGATAAAAGAAAACGATATATCAAGTCTCAGAAAAATCCAGTCTCTCCCAAATCCCAAAACAAAAGCATGCATTTCGTAATAAACAACGCACTGATTCTGTTTGATTTCTTCTACCTTTATCCTACACAACACTAGTTAAACGACACAAAACTCAAAACACAGACACAATTACTTAATCTATTCCCCAAAACTCAAAACACAGACACAATTACTTAATCTATTCCCCTTATTATTATTTTTTTGTTTTTATTATAATATCGAAAACATTTTCTACAAAAATTCAAAATAAAAAACATGACTATCTAATCATCTATATATTCAAACCTTGGCCCATTCACATCACGAAGTCCATCTTAACACACCTATCATATAAACATATTCAAACCCTAAAACGCAAACACTAAGAACTCTGTTCTTGAATTTATTAATGTCGTCGAGAGGATTCACCATTAAAGCTAGAGGATTATGTAATAACAATAACGGAGGAGGGACGGCCGGGACGAAGTGTGGACGGTGGAATCCGACGGTGGAGCAAGTGAAGCTTCTGACGGATCTGTTCAAGGCGGGGCTACGAACACCGAGCACGGATCAGATTCAGAAGATCTCTACGGAGCTAAGTTTCTACGGTAAGATTGAGAGCAAGAACGTGTTCTATTGGTTCCAAAACCATAAAGCTAGAGAGAGACAAAAGCGCCGCAGAATCTCCACCGTGGATTTTGACCATCGTCAAGACACAGATCTTTCTAGGCCTTACCGAGACAACCTACGTCGTCGTCATCAATCACCACCTAAAGGTGAATTAAGATCTCTTTCTAGATTGTTTTCTAATTAATCACATTATATATTTACAGTGTATATATTATCACTAATAGTCTAATAGTATGTGCTTTAATTTGGTTTACTTGTAGATATTTTTGAAGTTTGTAACGTAGAAGAGAAAGTAATAGAGACGTTGCAACTCTTCCCATTATCGAAGGTTGAGAGAGTGAGACCAAACGTTACTGCTGCGAGCCACAACGAATACACACGAGAGCAAGCCTATACGACGGCGTTTTCCACATTCTCAACATGTGGGGCTGAGATGGAACATCCGCCGTTGGATCTCCAATTAAGCTTTTTATGAAGCGGTTTGATGTTTAACGACTCTAGTGGATGCGAAAAAATAAAAGACTTGATGTTCACATTTATTTAGATCTAGGCTTGATTTTGGCAAATTTCCCTCGTAACAATATTAACCCTAATTATATCGTTGTTACAATTTATTTTCTTAAGCTTCTTCTCACTTATTGGTTGATCTGTGGCCTACCCGTGAAATGAACATCCCGATGATTGCCAAAAAAGAAGTAGAAGACACCGATACTTGAAGTGATCATTATCACATTTATGAAAGTATCCACAACAAGTTTTTCATGATTTTATTGTTTGTCCTCTACAATTCATATATTCACACACTCGTTGGAAAAATTACTTAAAAATAGTTAACAAAATGAAAAATTTAAATCCTAATATTAATCGGCTGATTAAGCACTTAACGGGCATCCCAGGCCCATCATATTGGGCTTAACAAAACAGAGGCCCATTATAGGAAAATAAAATAAAATGACCATAATAGAAGCAATTTAGTGCAAAGTGATTTTTCCTGGAGAAGAAGCAAACTCGAGCTCCGTCGGGAAAAGAAAAAAAACCAGATCGGAAAGTTCACTCTTTTCAAATCTTCTCCGGAGAAATCAGATTACTTTCAGCTAACGAAGGTCGATTCTCCGAACATGGATGTGATTAAGACGCAACAGATATCAGCAAGGACGATCGAGAAAGTGGTTGTTCATCCACTTGTCTTGCTTAGTATCGTCGACCATTACAATCGCGTCGCTAAGGATTCACGCAAGCGTGTCGTCGGTGTTCTTCTCGGGAGCAGCTCCCGTGGTATCGTTGATGTCACCAACAGCTACGCAGGTACGCCTTTATTATCCTTTTCCTCTCGTTCTCTTATGTCCCAGATCTCAGATTCTGTTGAGGTCTTTGCTATACTTGAATTCGGTGCTTTTGTTCGTTTTTCTAGGGGTTATTCGTATCTGGGTTCTAGCCAGATGTATAAAATAACACCAATTTAGGTTTTTTTTTTTGTGGCTGTTCTGTTCCGGAATTGAGCTCTTCTGGAGTCTATTTTGTAATACTGTGTACTGTGTGATGTTTACTTCAGTTAACTCACATTCTTGTTAGGGTTTTGGATTCAATTGAGCCCATCGAGAAAGAGATAGTTTTAGGTTGATTTAATATGCATTCAGGTTTGCAAGTGGTTATCTTTGGACACTGTCACTAGGAACCTCTTTAATAGATGGATGTTGCTTACATATGAATTCGTTTGGCATCTTGAATTGTAGTGCCCTTTGAGGAGGATGACAAAGACCCAAGCATCTGGTTTCTTGATCACAACTACCATGAGTCAATGTTCCACATGTTCAAGAGAATTAATGGTATTTTCTCAGGAAACTGGTGCTTAGACTGTATATGGCAATGTAAAAAACCATGCTTTTAACAAAAATTATTTGCTTTTCAGCCAAGGAGCACGTTGTAGGTTGGTACAGCACAGGCCCTAAACTTCGAGAGAATGATTTGGATGTTCACGCCTTGTTCAATGGGTTAGTTTCCAGCTTAATTATTCATACAGTAATTTATTGGCCTTTTTATCTTATGTTCTGTTGTCATGGGAGATGGAATGAGGATATTCTGGCTCTTAAAGTATGATTTATTTTAGGCAGAAATCCGTTTTTCTTTCTCACTTTACATTTTTTTGTGGCTTCTGTTTTATTTCCAATTAAGCTTCGCTTTGCTTCTGCTTCTGCAGCTATGTTCCAAATCCAGTCCTGGTCATTATTGATGTCCAGCCTAAAGAACTTGGAATCCCTACAAAAGCATACTATGCAGTGGAGGAGGTCAAGGAGGTAAGATACAGACCCTTCCAGATCTTGTCAATTTTGTACAGTTGTATCCTTATGTTTAATCAGATGCTGATTAAACACTTCTTTGTCTCTTCAGAATGCTACTCAGAAAAGCCAGAAAGTTTTCGTTCATGTATCTACAGAAATTGCTGCTCATGAAGTCGAGGAAATCGGTATGTCCAAAAGGGAAAATTTTTTTTTGCTGGTTTGATCATCAACTCGGTTTGATGTCTAAAGAAATGTCCTTGATTGCTTCTGAGGAAGGTCTTCTGACACTTAACTGCTTCATTTTTGTTCTTGTACAGGCGTGGAACATTTGCTCAGGGATGTGAAAGACACAACAATCAGTACTCTGGCGACTGAGGTTATTGCTTTACAATACTTTAACTTTTCATTATCATCCCGTTAGATGTCTGTTGAAATCATGATGGGTGCCTTGTAGGATTTGTATTGATGTTCTTGCAAGGTTATATTATGAACATGATAGTTTCTGCTCGAGGACATAAATAACGCTACTTTATTTTGCATCAGGTCACTGCAAAACTTACTGCTTTGAAGGGGTTGGATGCACGTCTTCGGGAGATCCGGAGTTACCTTGACCTTGTAATCGAAGGAAAGCTCCCTCTAAACCATGAGATTTTATACCATCTACAGGTTAGAACTTACTATATTGTCATGTAGTGTTCTGAAATCTAAAAATTATGGTGAAACTATATGACATTGTCCCAATCTATGTACTCTTTATAATTTTCTTGTCACTGTCTCTGTTATTGGTGGATCTCATCTAATGAAATATTCTCTATCGATAGGACGTTTTCAATTTGCTTCCTAACCTGAATGTGAACGAGTTGGTCAAGGCCTTTTCAGGTGAGTTTCTGCTATCATTTTTGATATTATATCGGGCTGGTTTCTTAAAGCTGCTTCATTATTTATAATGTGCAGTGAAAACAAATGACATGATGCTGGTTATCTATCTTTCATCCCTCATTCGGAGTGTAATTGCACTCCACAACTTGATCAACAATAAGGTTAGATCTTTACTCTCTCTCACGACACAATGATGTGAAAGTACCTTGACTTTTGATTGTGAACATAATCTTGGGATGATGCTGTGTTTCAGTTGCTGAACAAGGAACATGAAAAAGCAGAGGACTCAAAGCCTGTGGCCATACCTGCCACCAGCTAGATCAGGTTTTCTCGTGGCTTAATCAGTCATCATTGCCCGCGATGAAGGCAGCTGTTGTGTGTTCTCTTCCCCCAAAAGAAGGGTGAACAAGTTTAGTTTGATAGCGGCTCTCTTTCCGAGTGTTGGAATTCTCAGTTGTTCTGATTCAGAATGTATCAAAGAGTCTTTTCATTTTATCTTTCAAGTTCGTTAGGCTTAGGCCTCTTTTGAGGGGTTTTAAGATACAAAATTTCACGTCAATGTGTCGAAATCTCCACAGAGAGGGTCTTATCCTATTGAAATTCTTAAGAATTTTTTCACATTTAGCATGTGTGTGTTTTTGCTTACTCGTTTCTATAGCTTTGATATAATTCTCTGTTATACAGTCACATCGTGACAGACTATACAGCCCCATTTGAATGTTGTTAGTTTTCCTTTCCAAATTCGACATGTTCTTCATATTGTCCTTACTATGAAATTTCTGATTAGAGCCATTTACCACAACAAGGGTGTTACTTATGAATTTGTTTACTAGCAGAACTGAATAATTTGCATATTACTTGGATGTAAAAAGGAAGACTAGACTTTTTAATGAGCTTTTCTTTATAATGAAAAGAAACAACAACAAGAAAAAGTAAAGTGAAAAAGGATTATGAGGGAAAAATAAAGTTAATAAATGGCGTAATGTTCGTGAAAAGGATATTTGATGCTAAAAGACAGAAACGAAAACAAGAAGCTGCTTTGATACGCATAACATAATGCATCTTCTTTTTTTCTAATAAGTCTGCGTCTTTTGAACATTGTCCTTTTCTATTGTGTATTATTATGTTACTCCTTGTTAAGGACTACTATACGCTAATTAAACTTAGGAACAAAAACAAATACGATTACAAATCAATATATTTCTGTGTATACAAAAAAATCAAAATAACGTAACGTAGCACTACGAAAAGTAACAATGCAGACGTGACGTAAGCATTCAAGAAGACGACTTTCATATTAGTATGTTTAGTGGTTAGGTCGCATATCCCATTGAGGTGACTAAATCCATAGTGACGAAGTAACCAAAGTGATTAATTTATTGACTATAAACAACATTCTCAGTGTTAGTAAATAGACATATATATATAGAATGGTGTCAAAACAAACATTCTCATTTTTATGATCCAAAAATATTATAAGTTATACGACTATTTACCTTTCATTGGGTTCATTTCATCCAAAGGCATCGTCACAGTGGTGGAGCCACGAAAAAATAACAAATCGAATTGTGTGATGCCACTTTCGTTAAAACTTAAAAATATATATATGGTTCATGTTCATCGATGTATGTCATATATATCCTCATAGGTGGTTTTAGAATTTTATCGACTCCAACCGACCTACATTATTAAGTAGTATCTTAGGGTTTTATTCCTGCATGAAAAAAATAAATAGGGTTATAATTTTCTTTAAGTGACTATATATAGTATATACTAATCACTATTACTCAAATCAAATAAATAAGTGGAGATACATAGCCTAATATTACGTAATTACACTGTTCCTGATTAAAAAGTGAGAGGCTTTTGGCCATGGTCGGAAAGTTAAATACTTCAGAATATTTTTTCTTTTATTTTCAGATGTTTTGATTGGAAAACTGAAGCTTTCAAATTATAAAAAAAAAAGTAATTCATTATATGTTCTCTTTTTTTTTCCACAAAGTAAGTATCTATAAAGATGCGTTCACGCAATGTAATTTCCTAAATCACTATTGTTTATGCTCTTTTTTCAAATACCAACTTAACTTCTTTTCAAAAATCCAACAAAAGGTTTTTGAAATCATTTAGGTAGAATTCTAAATGGGAAAAATGTCATTAAAATCTCCAACTTATTCAAAACGTTGATTTAAATCCTCAACTCACGACGAAACGAAATAAATATCAAACTTATGTTGACTTTCCAAATAAATATTAAACTTATGTTGACTTTCCAAATAAACACTAAACTTTCATTAATTTGGCCATATTAGACATGACGTTAAGTGAGTTAACAGACAATTTTAACGGGATTAATTTTCTGTTAACAGACCCGCTAATTAAAAATGACAGTCTTGTTGAACTATAATCAAATATCATCTAAGTCATATAACATAAAGTCGTATTCATATAAGTTAGTTATTTACGTAAGAGTCACGAATGTACGTACGTATAGTTGTGTCTGTTCGTAAAGTTGTGTCTTTTCGATTAACACATGTACGTACACGTTGTTTCGTGTTGTATAAGTAGATCGAGTCAAACTCAATAACATCATTGTGTGTAATACATTTTATCTTATCAATAAAGATCAAGTTTCTTCATACTCTATTTTTCATTTTGGTTTTGTTCTTCATACTCTGTTAAAACATAGTTCGTTTGTTGATCAAAACACTAACAAGTATTCCTTCTAAACATAAAACGACGTTGTTTTGTCGTAACTGTTCAATACAATCCCGAGTTTCAAATCATACTCTATTTAGGGTTATGGATTTTGCTCGATTTGGGGATCTAAGATTGACTTTAGGGATTTAATTCAATCCTTACGACAAAACGACGTCGTTTTGTTGTTATATGAAACAATGTCATTATCAATTAACATATATGTTAACAAAAAATTACCTCCGTTAACGAGATCTATTAACCCACTTAACGTCGTACCTAATATGGCCAGGTCAATGAAAGTTTGGTGTTTATTTGGAAAGTCAACATAAGTTTAATATTTATTTGGAAAGTCAACATAAGTTTGATATTTATTTCGTTTCGTCATGAGTTGAGGATTTAAATCAACGTTTTGAATAAGTTGAGGATTTTAACGACATTTTTCTCAATTCTAAATGCATAAGAAATTTTTACAACTAAAAAACATTTTCTAATTTTAAATATCAGTTTAAAAAATTCTTAAGAAATAGTGGTGTTTTTTGAAAACCAAAATAAAATAAAATATTTTAAAGTCACAGAATGTCCCATACATTTTATTTATTAACTCCATCAAATCAAAAGAAATGATATAATGTCGTATTTCTATGATTTTTTTTTTTGTTATTGATGTCATATATATTTTTATAACTTCTAAAACATATGAAAGATGGAGAATTGAATCATGTTGTAGATTATCAACCATATATCTTGCCTTCTGACATGAAAGATTTTTTCTTAAGATAATTTTAAAACAGGTGCCTATACAAATGTTCCACTTGTACTAAACTGCTATATTTGTTTGTCAAGAATAATAATATATCCAAGGACACCCTTAATTTTTATATAAACTTAACAAAATTGAGGGAGCAAAGGGTTGGTGTAATAATAGGTGAAAAGAATGTGATTCTTTGTGCCGAAAGTGGAATGCAGACTCAGCTTCTAATTATATACCGTTCACGAGTTAGTGGTCAGCTTTGCCACCCCATACACACACATACAATACATCCAACCCTCCCTTTTTTATTCCTTTTTCTTACATAAAATTTTTATACATTCTTTTTGTTAAAACACAGTTTCTTTATATATAATTTTTTTACGTTAGAAAACCGTATTTGTGTATACTGCTTTTTTAAAATTATAAAAACGTAAATGAGTGAGTGGTATACTAATTCATCTACTACTATTGAATCATTGATCAAATGTTTTGGTTTAGATACAATTTTCCAAATAAAATGACTGACCGTTAAAGTTGCAAGTGAAGCACTTGGTCCTTTTCACCATTATCGATCGTTTTGGCAAAGAGACACGGACATATATACTAGCTACCATATATATGTTTATTCCATAAACACAAAACATACATATTCACATAGCCTTTTAAGTTTAACCACAAAACATAATTCTGGTTTCGTTGCGATAATTATAGTTTCAAAATTCAACATTTTCTCTTTTCAGGATCTTGTGATACAGTAACCTCCTTCACCGTAAAGATTTGCTCCTGCGAACTTAACGGCAGGATCGTAGGAAGAGAAGACCGAGGAAAGATTTTGACCAAGAAACTTCACTCCCTCCTCTGCATTATCCCTGTCGGTGAACCCTAGTTTTGGCTCGGCCTGATGTGAGACTAAGCAACCGTTATCAGAAGATGGACGGCTAAGATTTGCGTTGAGAAGATTGACGGTGGTGATGTCGTGAATGCTAGGCCGGCGTTTGTCTTTCGCACCGGAAAGCTGTCTCTGGTAGTACTTTTGGGCATGGCTTGCTACCTGAGTTGGTGTTTTTGATCCCACAAAGTTCCTCGATATGTTTCTCCAATCTCCTTTCCCGTACTTGAGAAGCCCTAACAAGAATCTCCTGCAGAAAACAATCAAACAAAGTATCAGCACACCAAGAAAACAGAGGACTACCTTGCAACTCAAGAAACCAAAGAAGAGTGACTTGTGTAACTCAAGGATCATGGAGATCGAAGAGTTTCTTCACCTGTGTTCTTCCTCTGTCCATGGGACTCCTTTTCTACGGTCTTGATCAAATCCTCTGGCTCCATTAGGTAGTTTGCGATACGCATCAAAGTCACGCGGACTCACAACCTGATCAAATCCACAGGGAGTAGCTGAATGGTAACCCGGGATCGGGACAAGTCCTGCTTCGATATCGAAGAGGTCTTCTTCGAGTTTAGAGTATTGCCTCATGACATCTGATATGGTCTTTCCAGGGATCATAGCAGCAACTTTGAACCAGCGGTCAGGCGTGTCATCAGCGTAGACCGCGAGAGCTCGCTCAAACTTCTTGTTCTCTTCTTTAGTCCAGCTCGAGCTTTGCAAGCACATCATCTCTTGAACTACAAAACGGTGGCCAGAGGTTGGCACATGTGAGAGTAGTGGATGCAGAGTTTCCATCGGGTAAAGGCTACGAGAGAAAAGTTTCACCTATAAAGTAAATAATATTTTTTTCCTCTAATTTTTGGAAGCTTTGAAGTTTAGTTTGTGGGTTTAGTAAAAGACTGAAGCTTCTTATAGGATCTAAAGATATATAGGAACCAAAGGGGAAAAACTAACGAATAGTTTAATGATGGAATCAAAGAACCTGATTTAGTGAGAGATTTTAGCATATATTGAAGGAATCTGGAAAAAAAAACACAAAAGACTAAGACTTTGAAGAATCCTTGAGAATCTGCAAAAGTGGGTCGTCAGAGTAAAACAAAACAGGCAAAACTCAGATGGTAGAGAGAGATAATCAGTAAGATAGATAGAGAGAGATGGTGAAGCAAAGGGAGAGAAGAAGAAGGTATTTGTGGTTTGTATTATAAAGAGAGAGAGAGAGAGAGCGTAGATTTTTAGCCAATGAACCACTCCACTCCCCTACTTGGCTTCATTTTATTCCAAAGAGGATTCTTCACAATGACACGAATTCTAAAAATAACAATAAACTTCAATTAAAAATTTTTTACTACTAGAATTCATCGTTTTTTTTTTTTTTGTTAGGTAGTTTTTCTCTAATATTGTTCAAAATAAAAGTGACAACACATAAAGTTGTTCGTATTTAATGATAGTTTACGTGTTATACGTCGGCTTTGTCTAAGGCTTAACTAATCTTAAAAAACACATAAGATAAGGAGAAAAACTTCACACTCTCTTTAAAAAACAATGTGATTGCTACAAATTTGTTATAAATGTAACTTAATTAAGGTTATTCGAGATAACATGTAAGACTTTATTCTTTATGTCTTCTTTTTTTGTGTTATAGACAGAGTGGTAGCCCGTAAGAACTTAACCGTTAACACGGTGGACCAGTCCACTATGTAGCCGATAGGGTTAAAAAAAAAAAAAAAAAAAAAAAAAAAGAAGAAAGAAAGGAGAAAACTAGGGCTGGGCATTCGGGTATGCGGGTCGGGTTCGGGTAAAACCCGATCGGGTACGGGTCTTTCGGGTAGAGGAGTTTAGGACCCAATAGGGTAAATCTAAAATATCGGTTCGGTTTCGGTTCGGATCTAATCGGGTTCGGGTCGGTTCGGGTTTAGATTTTTAGAACCGCTAAATACCCAAAAAAATCGGGTACCCATCGGGTTCGGGTATTTTATACCCAAATACCCAAAATTTTACCAAATACCCGAATTTTATCCGAAATTTTATCCTAATATCCGAATTTTATCCGCAATTTTACTCTAATATCCGAGTTTCACCCGAAAATTTATCCGAATAACCGGAATTTTGTCCAAATATTTAAAAAATTTACAAGCATCTCGCGTATAAATATATTTTGTCTTAAATATTTAAATATAAGTGCATTTAATTTTTGGTAACTATTCTCGGATATTTAGATATAAATGTATTTAATTCAAATATTACATATATAAAAAGTTTTATATGTATAAGTATATGTAATTTCGGGTAATCGGGTACCCGTTCGGGTATCGGGTTCGGATCGGGTTTTACCCTATACCCACGGGTACGGCAATACAAGACCCAATAGGGTAAATAGCTAATACCCGTACCCGCCCCAAACCGGTTTTTTCGGGTCGGTTTCGGTTCGGGTACTCGGGTACGGTTTTTTTGTCCAGGCCTAGAGAAAACGATATTTCTACAAAATTTCATTAAAGCCGCCATAAAAAAAAAGAAATAAAAAACGAAAAGTGAGGGAAAAATATGGTGTTGTTAATAAAGGTCTGACAATAACGGATATGTAAGCGCCTGTAGCTCAGTGGATAGAGCGTCTGTTTCCTAAGCAGAAGGTCGTAGGTTCGACCCCTACCTGGCGCGTTTCTTTAGTTTTTAGCAGATTAATGTCCTTGCCCTTAACCTTAAAGGGGAAATTAACTAACTATTGGGATGCGACTAAACCTTTTCTTGCCCACTTTGGGTACTGTTTTTTGTCGTCACTCGCTTTATCTACTTTTTTATTCAAAAGATTCTAATCAACTCTCACTCAAAAGCCCCTTTCACATACTCCATTGTCGGTGGCTCCAAACTTGTTCTGCTCTCTCGTAAGATGGATGATGCATAGAAATTTTCAAGACATGATATATGACCTTACATTAGATTTAAAACAAAATGGTTAAAGCTTGTTTACTAGATGAAACTTGAAGAAGATTGCATATAATAACAACTTAGAATTTGCCAATTCAAAAGGTTCATCAACATGATCATCTCTACCTCTCTGTTTTATACATAATCCATATATAGAACTAACAAAGAAAGATTCTTTTGGGTATAAAATCAGACAGAAACAGAGATCAAAATACAAAAGGGACCTATGTAATAGAAAGTGAAGCAGCTTGAAGTCTCTGCAACCATGTGATTCTCAAACTGGGCTTCTTCAGCTCTAAGAAGATCTCTCTATACTCTCTCTTTAGAAACAGATCCAACGCAAACAAGTAGAGCTCACTACCTTCTTCCACCTCTTTCATTGCGTCGAGGCTTTGAATGCATTCTCCAATGCTGTACATCAGCTTTGCCGATTCAATCTCAACGCATACTGGACTTTCCTGCAACATACCCTCACTCATTAACTTCATATCATCCAATGGTTGCGCGTTTTCGCTGTCTATCCGATCTTCTTGAGACTCTGCATAACCACCATTTAGCCTAGAGGTTTCTGCTTCATCTATGTGCAGCTTTGATAATGGAGTTGTGTCACGCCATTGTGGTGATTCAGAACGATTGTGGATGAGCTCCTTGCGCGAACGCGAAGGAGGAGTGTATGTCTCTCCAGGTTCTATAACTCCGTTAAAGATGATTGCTAGTTGATCAGCATGAGGAACTTCCTTGTGGCGGAATTGTCCTGCTCTTGGGTTTTCCTGTGATAAGCCAAAGAGAAAAATATCAGTTTTTTTTTCGCCTTTTTCAAAATGTAGTCCACTGGGAGAAGGATCAAAGATAGACAACTAGCATTATCATACCCGAATATAGGTTCGCCATTCCTCTTCTGTCGCACCAAAACTACGAGATTCGGGATCCCATTTCATGCTACTTGCTCCAACGAGTTGACACCAGATCTTCCAACCTTTCCTAGTGCAATCCCAGTGGTTTTTCAGCTGCGCTCTTGTATAACCAATGCCGGTATTTTCATTAATTGTCCCAAGAATCGTCTTCCACCCTTCCTTGTTAAAATGTGTGTCAGGTCTGTTTCCTTTTAAAGTCTCTTGAACCAACAGATCAAGAAACAGCTTATGTGTAGACGGAGACCAATACCCTTTTGTTTGAGGGTTGGATGAACTACACATGCTTTGGTTATCTTCATCTTCTTCCTCGTAAAAACTTCTTCGCCTCTTCCTTACACCCGAAACTTCATCATTTTTCACCTCAACATTACAACCCGCAAAGATAATCTCTAGCTTCTTGAGATCTTGAGGAACACTCAATCGATACTGCCCAGCATCAGGATTCTCCTATGGCAAAAAGCAATCACATTTTAGCATTTAAAACCACCAAAATGATCTTAAAAAATGGTTTGATTTGTAACCTGTAAATAGTTTGCCCAGTCACCATCACTCGCACGAAACCTGTTGGTCTCAGGATCCCAATTCATATAACTACTTTCAACGAGTCTACGCCAAATTTTCCACTGCCTGCTCATTGTATCCCAATGGTTTTTAAGCTGCATTCTATCGTACATCGCGCCAGTCTTCTCCTGAAACGATATCAATATGTTTCTCCAACCTTCTTTCGAAAAATGTGTCCCGGGTTTATTCCCTAACATCGTTTGCTCAACACATAAATCAAGAAACACTCTGTGGTATTCAGGCTCCCACACAGCTTTTGGCCTCATTTTTCACTTCTTTTCTCCAAACTCCTAACAATAAAAACGATACCATTATCATTGTGAACTCTTTTTTAACAAAAGCAAAGAGAGACAGAGCAATTGAAAATAAACAAAATCCATATAATAAACAGTCATACATTTGCATATACAATTCTAGATATTGAAGCCAATTAGATCAAGGTATTGGACCAGAGAACGCAGACGCAATTACATGAAACGTGTTTAAGGAAAAATATGACTTTGCGACCTGAGACTTCTCCTACTTGAAAATCCCAGTAACCGAACACGAAAATGGGGAATTTGCACGAAACCCTAATTCGATTAATCGGAAGAGTGAAGAATTACGGTAAAGGTTAGGATTTCGCCGGCGGGAATTGGGAAGCTGCGGAAACAGAATAAGGGAAGCGGAAAACGTTACCGGGAATCTGATGGAAACGCGACAGCGATTGAGTGGCCACTCTGTGACGGGTGTAAGCCGATCGCGATTTTTCTTCGTTTGCTCTGCTTTTCTGCGTTTGCGCCGCACTGTACGGAGTTCGCAAGGCTTTTCATAGAATTATTGGCTGGGCCGTACTATTTGGTCATGGGTCCTGGCCCAATGCCGATCTTGCCTCTTTTAATCTATTTGTTTCTCCTTTGAAGAGATACTCTGATTGGTTAAGAGGATGTGAGACTAGTTTGTGTTGGGTCCGGTCCTGGTTTTGTTTAATGTTTGCTCGATTTAGATGATTTTTGCTTTCTTTCTTTTTTTTTTTTTGGTAGGAGATGATTTGTGCTTTATCAAAACATTTTTATAGCTGATTTTATAGAGAAGAATTGAATATAGGTTATCGAAAAGGTGATTATTGTTCCAATCAAATGTATTTAGGTGACTATCGGCATCATTGATGAGTATAGATATACAAAAATGAATACTAGCAATAAGATTTGCTTTAAGTGGTGCCGACCAAATAATAAATAACATTTGCTTTAAATGGGCCGTAACGTATAAATCCAGATACAAAAATAATGAAAATTAGTCCAAAATTTTAGAAATAATGGTACAGAAAATAGCTAGCTCCAGCTCCCAAGTCGTCACTAGGGAACAAACTGCTTTCTACTAGTTCTTTTATTTATTTCTTTTGCTTATTCTGAATTTCTGATATCGACTTTCTATTTTCTATGAATATTACTATTAATTTGACATTTTATAATAGATAACCTATAGTAGATTATGGATTTGATTACGACAAAGTTTTTAAGACTATATTTAGTCTTTTAGCTTGGTTGGATAGAAAGTGGTGAGATACACTTGTTCTAAAAGCTCTCGTAGTCTTTGGTGGTAGCCGCTGGGTTTTCCTTTAAATTAGAAAAGAAACCTACACATGTTTTTTGTGCAAGTTTAAGAAATTACTGTTGAATTTTTATTTTATTTGTTTGATAAAGAAATATTGTTGAATGTTTATGCTGGCTAATTAACCAAATTTCTTACTTAAAAGTTAAAGATCCGATTATTACCTCATTATGCTTGGAATGATCTCATATAGAAGAGAGCAAATGACGAAAGAGAAATATGAGAACATACGGTTTCTCATTCAGTTTCGAGCGACGAGAGTGTGTTTTGTTCCTATTATTTGTAAGACAATTTACTGTGTATATATATACACAGTAAATTGTCAAGATCATTTTTTGGCAATGAGTAGCGTCTCTAGCGTGAGCATTGCCACTAGTATAACACATGATTTTAGCAAAAGAATTTAGGAACACATTACACATATGGCTTGGAAGTGTGACTGAAAAGTTGAGATTCTACACACAAAAAATGTTGGTTTGTATGAACGGTTAAAATGTGATTGCACTCTCTAAACCGTTAGTGCATCGTGAGAAAGCAATATACACATGACTAGTTGAAGTTAATAAGATATCAACACATGAAATACCATGTTGCTATGTTAACTAAATTTTTAGGAACTAGTAAGCTTCATAAGCTTTGGGGCTTCACAATTTGACAAATATTTGCAACGATTTAAGTCCAAATTAAAAATGGAACTCAACAATCAATAATCACTGGAGAAAAAGAAACTAAAAGACATGAATTGATGACTTTGATTCTAGTCGAGGCTCTCATCGACTGTGTGATAATTTGTTTAGGATCAGAGTTTATAATTTTGTGCGAAAATTCCAAAAAAATTGCAGTAGTCAATGAAATTATATATACATATGAAACTGTTCAACTTTCCATAACCTCTCTGACATTTTGATCTCAATTAGAACTAAAAGTAGCTAATTAAAACATGCAGTTGCTGCAAATGTACTGCATGAAATCAACCTCCCTAGTAAACAACTAGCCCTATACATGAATTAAATAACATCATTGATTTGTGTCCCTATATATTAATTTCCATTAATAAATTCAATTATTAAAAATAAGATACTAAAAAAAATGTTGGTTAGTTCCTAAAAATGAATTTAAGGCATGAAAGATGAAAGAAGGGAGTCATGTTTTTAATGCATCCTCTTTGTCCTTATTCACTTTGTTTTCTTTCCCTTTTATAAACCCCTCTCTCTCTATCTCACACTCACAAAAGTGTCTCCCTTATTTTCAGGCACTTCAAAAATAAAAATAAAATAAAATAAAAACTATTTTTAAGTCGAAAGACCTTCTCTTTGAACTAGAAGCCTTTAGACATGTCTTCTTCTTCCTCGCTAGTTCTGTTCTCTATTATCTCTCTCTTCCTCAATGTCTCACTCGCAGACAATCACACGGCGGTTGTTATAACAAACTCAGATACTCCACCGCCACTTCCTCCGCCTTTTCCACCTCCACGGCATACCTTCACTTCCTCTTTCATGCCGGGAATCGCCGTCGTTATCGCCGTACTCACCGCGTTTTTCTCTATCACTTTCTTACTTCTCCTCTACGTCAAACACTGTAAACGACGAAGCGGAACCGTTTACGTAAACCACCCGCAGCGTTTCGCAATCTCTAGATACGGAGGAGGATATTACAACGGTGGAGGAGTAGGAGGAGGAAGAAAAAATTCCGGTATAGACCGGTCCGTGATTGAATCTTTACCGGTTTTCCGGTTTGGTGCATTGAGCGGTCACAAGGATGGTTTAGAGTGCGCCGTGTGTCTCGCTCGGTTCGAACCGGCGGAAGTTCTGAGGTTATTGCCGAAATGTAAACACGCCTTCCACGTGGAATGTGTTGACACGTGGCTCGACGCTCACTCCACTTGCCCGCTTTGCCGTTACCGGGTTGACCCGGAAGATATACTCTTGATCGGTGATTGTAACTCCTGGTTCGAGCTCCGTTTCTCTAAAGAAGAATCAAACAGTATTAGTAATCCTCCCGGTTTAACCCGGTTTGTTCCGGTTAGTCGAATATCCGGTCGTCATTCATCGGCTGGTGAACGAGCGAGTCGACTCAACGAGATTAGAACATCGTCGTCGTCTAAATCGAATCCGATGTCGTTTCGGAGATCACTCGATAGCTCTCTGAAAGTTAACGACGCCGGCGAGGAAAAATCGGAATCTGTCGCCGTTAATTGCTTGGATCGTTTACAGAGAAAAGACGGATTGTTGTTGATTCCGAATCAGGAGAGTATGGAAGGGAGATTTGAGCACCGGATAATAATCGCCGGCGGGAATCGAGATGATCAGAGGTGGAGCGAGGTTAGGCCGGCGGATCTTTTGTACTTACGATCGGAGATGATACTAAGTGATTGCCGGAAATTAGCTGCGGCGGAGGGTGGCAGAGATGTAATTAACGGGAGAAGTGTGTCGGAGTTAACGGGAATTGAGAGACGGAGGAGATGGGGAGGAGAGCCAAGACAACGACAAGCCACGGCGGTGATTTCGAGGTGGCTCGCTTGGTCCCACCGTGCCTCCGCTTCCAGCATTGTTTAAAATTTATATTTTTGGTCCTTTTAAGTTATGTATTATAACAGTTTTGGCCGGTTTAGTTTTGTTCTATAACATTTAGCCCAAATTAATTTAATTTATTCGAGGAATGCAACAATGGCAGGTAGGGATAAAAATTAGTAGTGTTGTTTTTTTTATTTTGTTTTTTGAAATGCGAATTTTTTGGAGTTAATAGAGATGCACGAGTGCGAGGAAGCACAAATGATTTCTTTTTGTATTTTAATTTTTGAGGAAATATTAAGGAAAGTGAAAGGTTTGAGTTTTTAAAAAATTAATGTCTTTCTTGGTGTAATAAAGGGCGAGTATTGGGGATCTGATAACTAAGTTTAAAATAAAAAGAAATGACTCATGTTTGTCTTTTTTATACATTGAACTCATAACACTGAACATTATGTGCTTGCAAGACATTATTAATGAGTTTTAGTACTCTTTATATAGAATAATCAACGATTGTGAATATAGTAATGGTTAAATGGACTATACTCTTTAAACTTTATAGCATTTTTAGTTTTGGGTCCTCAAAAGAAGGTTCCAAAATTCAAAATTTGACATAAGACAATGCTCTGACACAACTCATGATCCATCCACATACCTCTATGATTGTTTGTATATACATCAATTTAATCACATGAAACGTTATACACAATTTGATTATCTCGATATGTTCCATACTTTCAAAAACTTTCCAAGTAATAACACTAGCCGTATCTTTATGTAAAAACCAAGAAATGTCCAAATAACTCGTGATTTTGGAAGACGATAGTACATCTCTTTCAATGAGACTTTGGGAAGACGCGATTTAAAATTACTTTTACATTGTTACTTTACCCTTTTCTATATGTATGGAGTATTGTAGGGCTGGGCTTTTAAACCGAACCGAATGTACCGAACCAAAACCGAAGCAAAAAAAACTGAACCGAACCGAACCGAAAATTTGAAAATAACCGAATGGATACTAAATTTGATAACCGAAATAACCGTAACCGAATCGGTACCGAACCGAAATATTTCGGGTAACCGAAATACCCGAAATACAATTATATTTTTGAAATAATTAGTTATTTATAGACCAAATAATCAAAAATATTTGAAAAATCTATAAAAAATAGTAAAAATATTCAAAAATAACCGAAAAATATCCAAAAATATTCGAAAATACTCAAAAATAACCGAAATATCCGAAAATATCCTAAGCAAAATAACCGAATGGATACTAAATTTTAAAAACGAAAGAACCGGAACCAAACCGAAACCAAACCGAAATTTCAAAATATCCGAATGGATACTAAATTTTAGAACCGAAAGAACCGAAAACCGAATGGACCCAACCGATAACCGAACGGATAACCGAAAGCCCAGGCCTAGAGTATTGTGTTTTTGATATGATGAAGGCAAAGAAGTCATATTGTGCAACTAGAGAGAAGTCATTTCCGGAATAAGTATGTAGCAGAAGATCATTTACTTTCAAAGTCATTGTTGATTGATAAAACCAATTTGGTATACAATTAATAAGATGATGGTATTGTATTTCATTGACTACTTTAATGTTTTGAATTAATGATATTTCTTGCCATCACTTTACAACTCATCATTTCCAATTTCCAACATTCTCAAAAAAATTATTATATTGTTTTTATTATCCATTTTGTGGTTTTTCACAGCTGATCTTGTTCCTTGTTCGTAACAACCACTTGTGTTGCCCACTCCCTTATTAACTAGATGTTGAGAAAAAGAAGAAGAAAAAAAAACGATTGTAGAAGCAAGCACACGTAGTACATGCAAAAATAAAGTAGAACAAGTTTGGTTTATACATTTAGAGAAATCGGTGTAGTAGTAGTTTTTTTTTTTTTTTTTTGGTGTAGTGATGAATCAAAATCATAAAAAAAAATCTAAAAGAAAAAAACCTTCTCCCCGGTGATTAGTTCTAGACCCTGAGTTATCAAATAAAAAAAAATCATAAAAAAAAATTCAATCAAATACTAGTTTCGTTTTATTGATAGAACAATGAATATCTACTTTTATTTAGTAAACATATTGTGGATTGTTAAATAGAAATCAGATAAAAATTAAAGTGCGGTTTAGAAAATTTTAACTAAAAGCAAAAAAAAAATCAAATCATAAGAAAAACTCCAATTTAATTGTTTATAAGTTTGCATGATATATATAGGCTAGTGTTTTGTGGTATTATCATCACAAGTCACCATCAAAATTCAATTTCATGTTGTTTGACAAACTATGCATGAGTTCCACAAAAGAGGAAAATCATGATATAGAGGCAAAAGGATATGTCACATTGAGATACTTACTTAATGTTATCTAAAACAGTACTTTTTGTTGTCATTTACATTTTATATTGTTTTGTTTGGACTTACTATCAGAGAAAATGAAATGGTTGAATAAGTTGCGGTTTGTTAATTACATGTCGAGAGAAAATTGTTAACAGAGATAAATAATTAAAATCTCACCAGCATGGACACATAAAGGAGAACATTCCATGTGGCCTTTGCCTGTGTTATCTCTCATGTTATGTATAGTCCATCTTATTACTAACCATAGATAATGACATTTTCATAGAATAACAACGAATTTATTTTGTCTACTAGCCATTGCCATGATTTCATCTGCATAACCTTACTATTCTCCTCCGAATTATTGCGTGTATATATTTAAAAGTTCGGTTGTATTAAACCAAATGCAAAAGAACCCAATTCCAAATGCTTAAATTTGTAAAGTCCTTTCTTACATTTGTATTCTTTACATTACAAGTTCGATTGATAACTTAATACATTTCTATACTGCTTTGATTGTTGTCAATCACATAAGCAACATGAATTATATGTACCAAAAGCAATACCATGATTTTTTTCTCTTACAACTAATTTTTACCATTAGTTGTTTAAAAATTATTTATTATGACAAAAAAATTACTACAGTATTACATATAAAAATAAGATTTCAGTTGTACCATTATCCCTGTCTAGGAGAATTGGAGAATTGGAGAATGGAGTTCCATAAGAATATGGGCATATCAACTCTTGGGAAAGAAAGAAATAAATGATTTCTAAACAGACTCTGTATTATTGTCATGTCTAATTATTGTCTGAAAACATCTCTAGTCTAATTAGTAACTATGGATTATTTGAGGAAACATAGAGTTCTAGTGACATACAGTAGTTTATTAAAGAAATTAAGAAATTAGTATAAAAAACAAATTTCAAGAAAAAGTGGCCCACAATAGAATCTTTGAAATTAGCAGAGTTAGAGCTCCAGAGTCACTAGATATGCAAGATATGTTAATCTGACAAGTTAAAGTTAAAAAAAAATTAATTATCCCACTGCAGCTAT